CAGTTTTGTCAATAAATTAAGCTATATTTTTTCGTAAAAATTTTGGTATGAGGGATCGACGGAAAGAGTTTTCCATAAATTTATATTACATCTCTTCATTCACGTCGCTTCTCTTTGGCCCAAATTAAGTTTTGCTTTACCGATTTGTATTTGAACTGTTTTTTGACGCTAATACAGTACGTCTTACTAGTCCTATACTTTTAAAACGGTAATAATTTTATTTTCATTCCACCTCGCAGGTACTGTATGTCAGAATAATAGCGACATACTTTCTTTTTCGTAAGAACTTTCATCAATCTCTGTTATGGGTAATTGATATATAAAATGGTCGTTAAAAATTTAAAAAATCAAATAAATCGTTTTTTTTTTTTGAAATTTTTTTTTTTTTTAAAAAAAAGAATTGGCTTTGTTACCTATTTTAGACTTACGTTATTAATTTACCAAGAAATAATTTGATGCTTTATTTATTATTTTTATTATATTATGTTATAAATAATATTTACTTAATTATTATTTTTTAAAGAAAAATTATAATCAATTTATTTGTATTTAGTTTTTTTCACTACTATAATTCGTTGAGTACCTAATCAAATACCCTATAATATAACTGCGACCCATACTTACATATCAAAAACCCCAACCTCGTTCTGTGAAGCATCACCTTTTTTTAATATATTGATATAATTATTAAGTTGTATCTTTCCATTATCAATATATTTATTTACTTTAATTGATTTATATTTTAGTTTGTCTTTACTCCAATAAAAATAGTTTCAATTCAATAATTCTTCTTCATATTCAGTTTGCAGTTTTTTATCTAAATCAATTAAAGATAGAAATAGAGGGTTGCTCACCCACCTACCCATTTCCCTGGAAAAAAGTCCGATTAAATTAAATAATTTAATTCAATAATTGCACTAAATGTTCCACAATTATCATAAAATAAGTCAATAAATCCATATTTATATTAGGAATTTTTTCTACAACATATTTCAGGAACAAAACAGTTTGAAGGCAATATTAACTCTATGGCCGTCTGAAAAGAGTTTTCATCATAGTCTCTAAATGACCTAAGAGCTTTCTTTTTATGGCAACGCAAAATTTCATGAATGAATTGATCTTCATTATTATTTAATATGCCTTCAACCTGTTATCAAAATTGTTGGTAATAATCTTAGTAATAATGAATAAAAATAAATTTAATTAATAAAAAGTGATTTTTTAAAAAAAAAAATTTAAATTTCAGAAATTTCAGATAAATGCAGCAGTTATTTAAACATGCAAAAGCTACAAAAGCCTAACAAGAATTAGACTATTCATAAAAAAGGGTAGCTTAAAATCAGCTGTATTGATCATCATCATTTTACGAAAAAAAATACAAAAAAATAATATAAAAACCTATTTATAACTAACCTTTCCTTTAATTTGAGACATATAATATATTATATCTTTCTCATACTCTGCACTTGGATTTGTCTCTTTTCTGTTTATTACTTTTAAAAAAAAATAAATTAATTATTATAACGACTTAATTAAGTAAATTTTTTTATTTACAAAATCATAAAATACCCGAGACAATTTTTTCTTTTAAAGAATAAATTTCAATAATTGGGCCAATTCCAAACCACTTCTACATAGATCATCCTTAGAAATATGCAAGAAACTAGAGCCAGTAATCCTTTTATCATTTAATATAGAAAAGTCATTGGCTTCAAGGTGTTAAAATTTGAAGATTTTGTCTTTTCAAAAAGCTGGCTAGTTCTTTAGATGTCCAGCTCTTCATGTGCTTATACGTAAGTCCATCATTAATAACTAGCGCGTTATTGCGTTATTGTAAAAAATTAATAATAATAATTAAGGATGCAAAATTATATTGATGTTTTTTTCTAAAATTTCTAAAATGATCATTATTTATATTTTTTCTGAAATGACCAGTATTTATATTTTTTGAAAGGTATCGGTCAAATGGAATTTTTAAGTAAAATAAATTGAAGGACAGCCTGAGTATAAATAATTATCATTTAATGATCATATGGAATTTTTTTTCAAGGAAATATAATAAATTAATGAACTGTCTGAGTATAAATAATTACAAATATAGCCAAATTGAATTTTATTTTGAGTAAATTGATGAACGGTCTGAATATAAATAATTATAACTACCATTTAATGGTCGTATGGAATATTTTTTTCAAGTAAAAGTATAATAAATTGACAAACAGTCTGAGTATCATTTAATGATCAAATGTTCAAAAGTATAATCAAATATAGTTAAATGAAATTTTTTTTTCAAGTAAGATTTGATGAACGGTCTGAGATACATACTGTATATATATATATTTATATACATCAATAATATAAATAACATAGTCAAAATTTTTTTTAAGGGCATCAATTATATAAACAGTATAATTCTAAATATGAAATATATTTTTTATTTTTTTTATTTAATAGTACTTCAGTACCGCGAGTACCGCTGAGTTATATTGAATATATTTGCTTACGCGTAACTCACGTAACTATAAGTAGTCAATTTATGCATAAAACAATGGGTTTAATAAAATTCATTGTGTGTTTAGATTTGATTTCGATATTATAAAGGTACTAATAATCATTACTGTTATTATATCCCTAAACATATTTAAAGGCACAAGTCCAATTTTTAATCATACATGGCTCTAAACCCGAACCATGCTCGTTAAACGTTTTGTACAAGCTTCAGAAGAGCTGGGTCCGTTGTCACTTGCCAACAGTTGTTGTGGAAGAAAAATAAATTCGATTTAGTTGACCAAAAAGCCACTTGACAGATGTCACGACATGATCTATTTTGTGTAAAAAAAAAGGTTATAAAACACCACTAATCTCACTCAAAGAAACTCACTTATAAATCATTTCGAAACATACAAGCATGTGATCCTAAAAAATTATAAAAAAAAATAAATAAAAAAGTATTACGAAAAACGCCATTATCCCCATCCGAAAAACTCACCCATCGTTTCAAAATATCAAGTACAAAATAAAAAAATGGTAGAACTCAATAAAATTAATAAAACACCACCAATCCACCACCTATAAATCATTTCGAAATACCCAAGCACCTGGTTCTAAAAAATTTATAGAAATAAAAAAAATGCTACCATCACGGCATCACCCTAAAGAAATAAAGTTTATATTTTCGATATTTTCGGTATCTAATTGTTTTATCGGAAATAAATTTGTTTCATTAACGGTTATAATAGCAAACTTCTCGTTCCTGCTTTCTGCTTTACACAGTATTTGTAGGACACAACTAATACATTACTATATAAAACACTTTATATAATTCATATCAAACATTGAAACAGATCATTATCGAAATGAATTTGAAAAAAGGTGAGAAGTATTTGAGTTAATCACAATGTATAATTAAAAATCAAATTTTCACATAATTGAAAATATGAATTTAATAATTTTAATAATTTTCATTGTTTATTTTTCTTTTAAATTCGAAAAGAATGGCCGACGATAAATTGAAAATTAAGTTTGTGGGCGATTTACAGTATTTGCTAGAATTTCGGATGTTTGGAATAAATTTTATTAAAAATGAATTTGTTCTCTTCATCCTGGATTCCAACGTTTCTGTTTGTAGCAATCATTTCATTTAAACTATTTTTGGTTTAGTCATTTAAGATATTGCACAGACAGTTATTATTTTATTGGTTAGTTAATTTATTCTACATTTCATTAATTAATTGCAAAAACGATAGTAGATTACCGTAATTTTTTTCCTGTTTAAATTTCGATAAGATACTTTTTCTGGTCATCGCATGTTTAATGGCTTCGTTTCTTAAGTTAATCGTAATCTGAGGAAAATTTATTATTTATCACCATAGTTAGTTGGCCCTTTGAATTTAATTAACCATTAAACCATAATATTAACCCTAATTCTAATTTTAACCCTAATACTAATCTCTAAATTTTACTATTTAATCTAAAACGTTAACTAGTATTGATTTGTTGACGTTTAACGTAATTAATTTAGAAATGATCGGCATCAAAATTACGTGAACGTGACATTTTTCTGCGGTGATGCTGTGTGCCTTAGAGTTACATATCATGTGACGATCACGTAATCTTTTTTTTTTTTAATTAATGAATAGAATTTTGTGAATTTGTGATACTTTGAGGCTGAAATCATATTTGACATCTAAACAATTTTGGTAAAAATAATAAAAACTAAAAAAAAACTTCCGCATGAATTTTTCTAAACATATGTAAAAGAAACGGTAAAAAATACCAGATTTTTAAAAAAAAGGAAAAGAAACCAATCTTTTAATTATTCTGTTTTTATCTCTTTTACTTCATGATTTTTTCTTGTTCATCAAACAAAAGATTTTTCGAATGTATCATTATCATCATTATTACAAATAACGATAAACGTTTATACTTTCGAGCTCCAACATTTATCTTGATCTTTAACTACTGATTATCATTTCATTGAAAATTACTTAAAAAAAGAACAATAAAATATTTTCCTGAATCTTAATACAGCAGGATTTTTTTTTTTCCGTTTTTTTTTTCCGGTCGATCATATCCAATTTTGATTTTTTCAAAGAAAAAAAATTTCGGTCTGATGAACATTTTTGTCGTGTATGCATGCATGTAGCATTATGATCACCGACGTGCAAAATTTTCATTTATGGTTAAATCCTAATTTCACTGTTTTACTAATTTAGATTTTTAAATAAAAAAATTAATAACGCGTAAATCCTTCTTTTTTGGATAATGCCAGGCGGCATTACATAATTCTGGCCCTGAAGAGATGCGTAGAGCCAATAGTAAATTGGTGCCGATCTCTCATTACATTTGCTCGGGTCCTCCTGTGTTACTGCAGATATTAAAGATTTTTTTTAAATAAATTGAGTACTTTCTCGGATTTTGCTTTCTTCGTCTTTTCTTGGATTATCAAAAATACAGTACATAATTAAATTTATAGCTAAAAAATTTTTTTAACAAAAAACATGGAAGATAAACAACGAAATAATACATTTACTAGAAGTGTTGCAAACTATTTTCATAAGCATAATGACGAAATAAACATAAATTATGAAAAAGACGATATCACTACGAATAAGGAAGTTTATCAAATTGAACTTTGTCTAGATGGAAAATTTGCTGCTACATTCGATACAGGTAAAAAAACACATGAATTTTATTAGTAGTAAACAATTATGCGACTTAAACATATATCGATAAGTTTTTTTACCTTTATTTTTTCTTTAAAAAAAATTAAATAGCAAACCTTCGGATCAAAATATTGCAGAATACTGATTATCGTCCATTTATATTCAATAAGAAAAAGAATTTCAGAAATGAATTTGAAGAATCCGTCGAAATTGATAAAACAATCGCTTATTTTAAAATAAAAGATGATTTTAGTATTGACAAGCTCTACGACCATGACCCTCCTCTATTTCATGGTGATGAAAAAGGAATCAAACAAGATAATTTTGGATGGTCTTTTGATATATCAAATATGCACAAGAATAATGGCAAATATTTTATTTTTGTCGCCGTATCCCGCATAAACATTGAAGAGGATATGAAAGGAAAGAATAAGTATGAGGATATAAAAGGAAATGATAAGCAGAAAAAGGATGATAATGGAAAATCTGATTATGTAAGAGAACCATTTAGCAAAAAGATATTTAAATGTCCTACACCACCTAAAGAACATGAAAATACAGTAAATATATCACCTGACGATGAAAATAAAATAAATATATCACCAACTAACGAAAATATTACCGCAACTAGTAACACAACAGATGAAAGTAAAAAAGGAGTCGCTATTTATCGTATTGAATTAAATAAATGTCAAAAAAAAAAGAATGAAAATGGAGAGGATGTAAATGAAGAGAAGGAAAATGAGGAGAAAGAAAAAGTTAATTATGTTCTTATCGCTGTGACTTGTTATTCTTATAACAAAATTTCAGGAATATGTAAATTCATTGAAGCTTCAAATGATGATGATTTAAGTAAAGATGATTCAAGTAAAGATGATTCAAGTGAATACAATTCATACAATCCTGAACTAAGAAGATTTATAATATTGAATTTCCGTGGAATATATAATATTGAATTTAATGATGATTTTGATTTTTTGAAATTGAATGAAAAATTTGAATATCCACAAAATATTAGATTTGTATTAGATAATTGGCTTACATTTGCTGAATTTGCTGATTGTACAAATAGACTTCTTTCATGTATTTACGATAAATATTTTTTGTTTACACGACATAATAATGGCGTGCAATCGCTTGAAGGTAATTGTTTATTTATCTCGTCATAATAATGTTAAAAATATATTTATTAATATGATATATTTTTTAGTTTATGATCTGGCAAAAATGGAACATAAAGTTAATGCAATATTTGTTGAAAATATCGTAAATGAATATATTATATATTTTTTTTCAGTTAGTAGGTTGCAACTTTGCTTTACTCAAGTTAATATTGTTAAGTAAGTTGTTATGTTAAAAGTTATTAATAATAATCTTTGATTAGTGCGTAATTTCACATTATTAATTTCAAATTTATTAGATTTTTTCATATAGAAAATGGCTTGCAAATCGCATCAAAAAAATTTGAAGAACTAGAAAGAATTTATTTGTTGGAATTTATTGATAGTGATAAAAAATTACTTATAATAGGCGAAGGCCAAGGTCTAAAAGAAGGCAAAGATCAAAAAGTCGAGGGTCTAGAAGTAGGAGAAGATCTGGAAAAAGGCAAAGATCAAGAAAGTAACAAAGATAAGGAAGTAAAGTTTATAATTTGGGATCTGTACAATACCGGAGAACATGAATTATTAGTGGAGTTAGACGACTTTCCAATTACTAAAACTAACATGGATGATATTTACACTCGTTTAGCCATAACTTCGGGAAATATTTTACAAATCAATGATTATGGAAAAGTTTCATCGGTTCTTAAAAATGTTGAAAATAAAATCAATAAGAAAAAATTAGATAAAGCTGCAGGTCCAAATATAATTTTAAAGGACGTTTGTGGAAAGTTAAATGGAAAAGAGGATAAAAATCATAAATTATATTACGATAAAAATATAAATTTTAAACAAATAGTTAATGACATAGAGCCATGGTTATCGGGTGGTAATAAAAGGACTTCTTATTGTCTTTATTATAATGAAAAAGGAACAGAAACAGAAACTTTACAGCTTATTGTTAGTAGATCAACTGTTCAAATTTGGCATCAAATAAATGATAGTAAAAACAAATTTGAGCTTCCTAACAAAGGGGAAGCCTTTCTTGAATATATATGGTCAAATCGTATTCCAGTAAAGCAAGAAAGAGAGAAAACGAGATTGAGAATTGAAAAGTTTGAATATGGACCAAATTATGGATCAAATAATAGAACAAGTGATTTTTATTTAAAGGTTTATTGGTTTGAAAGAAATGATAGCTTAAAACCGGAAGAACATACAAAAATGACAGAGCATGAAATAATAAAGAAAGAAAACGATGAAATAGATGAAATAGAAGATAAGATAAAAAAGATTAATGAAAACAAAGTCATAGACGAAGTAGAAAAAAAGAAAAAAAGACAAGAAATAATAAATAATTGTGTAATGGTAAAAATACGAGAAAAAGTGATTCAAGGAAAAGATTTTATTAAAAAATCTCATGCAGCAAGACACGCTTGCAAAGCACTAGAACATATAAGAAAACGTTATAGAAGTACTAAAAATGATGAGAATAATTATAAAGTAAGTTAAACATGAAAGAATTTAATTAAAGTTTATTTATTTATTTATTTTTTTTTGGAAATAATACTAACATTTATTAACGCTTCTTATTAATAAAAAGTATGAGAGGTTGACTAACTATATCGAACATATAATCTGGAGATTTGCTAAATATGAACCAGAAAATTTCAGATTATTAGATATTCGATATAATCTTATGAAAAGTTTAATACTTGCTGATTGTGATCGTTTAATAAAATTTATATTATTTGGATATGAAGAAACTGCCAAAAATAAAATTGATTACAGACATGTGCCAAGTAATAAATTATGGCCAGGAAAAAAGTTTTTAAAAGATGATGACCTTGCCTTTTTCAAAAGAGATGATGAGCTAAAAAAGCCAAAAAATAATATGGAACTAGCAATTTATTATTGTAGAGGTAAATCTAACTTTACTGATGCATATAATTAATTACAATAAAAATAACATTATTTTATTTATAGGCCGTGATCAAAAAGATACGATTATTGTCGCATATCTTTTGGAATACTATTCTAGAAATCCAACAAATTGCGTGGGTTGGATGTGTACCGTTTCTAAGGCAATTCCTTTATTATTTGAAAATAAATATGGTTCGTTTTTTATTCTTAATTTTATTTTCATCCAAAGAGTTTGTGAAATTTATATTTTTTTTACATAAAACATAGACGATTATGCTAGAAAAGTATTTATTAGATGTTTTGCAGATCAGGGTCACTTCTCGGGTCAAGATCCTGATGAAATTATTACGGAAGGATACCTAGAAAGTTACAATTATAGTGACACAAAATTTAGAGCGTTCACACCTATGGTCAGGCTGATGTCTGATAAACCTAAGTGGTACAATAATTGGATTTGGGACAAATTTAAACATTTCAAAAGTATATTCAAAGAAAGTAAAAACTTCGAAAAATCATTATTAGCTTTACGAGTGATTCCCTTTCCTGGTTTTAGTGTAAATAGAATTCCAAAAGAAGAAATAGAATTTACTTCTATAAAATTTATTTTTAGTGTTTTTCTATTCTTATTTATACCACGAAGATACGAGATTAGTCATAATGATATGACTAAGTTAAGTCCTTTTTCTAAGACGATACTATGTAAGAATTTTGATATTTATGACAATCCAGCAATTGAAGCAGTTATTGTTCTTCATTGGCGAAAAGCAAGAAATTTCTTTTTTTTCACTTTCTTTCGATTTCTTGTTTTTGCCGCTTGTTTTGGGTTAATTAGCTGGGCATATTTGGATCATAGCACTATTATAAATCATTATTTTTTATTTGCATTAGTTTTTGTATTCTATTATTTGACAACTTATCAACTTATTACTGAAGTATTACAGTGTCATCATTGTGGATTTAAAAAATATTTGGGTGAAATATTTAATATTCTTGATATTATTTCAATTATGTTTGCTGTAACAATAATGTCAATAATGCTTAAAAATTTTCAATTTTTTGATGGTTTTGGAAGTGTTAATGAAATTAGCGATAGATTAATTACAGGGATATCATTCTCAATTTTTTTGCTTTGGATTGAATTGGTAATCTTTGAACTGTATTTGATTATTTAAGTTTTTACATAAGAGTAATTAATTAACTAATTTTAATAATTTTAGATTCTATATCTTCGTCTAATGCCGGGTAAAAATACAAAATTAATATAAAGATATTATTATTTCATTACATCATTAACCTATTCTTTTCCACTTGCTAGTTATTGGAATTTATATTTATCATGTCGTAATTATCTTCAAAACTGTATTCCCATTCTTTTTGTTTATTTTAATTGTGATATTCGCATTTGCACATACAATGTATAAGAATCTTTTTTTTCATCTTAGGTTTAACTAGGTTAACTTCTTTTATTTTAATTTATGTAGGTTTGTGCTGCTTAGAAATCCCACGAATATTAAGACCAAAGATTCTACATATAGTGGAGTTGCTACAAATTCTTTAACCAATGAGACACTTGATATTAAACTTAAGTCTGATTTTGATCCTATGTCTAGTGATAATCCATTCACATCTTTTACTAAAGCAATGATGGCTACATATTTTTGGATTAATGGTGATTGGGTTCAAAGAGATGAGTTTGATTATTGGGCTGTTGATGTACTTACTGTGATTGCTAGCATATTTCTTGTAATCGTTTTACAAAATATGGTGATTGCTTATATGAGGTAATTTTATTTAATAATTTAGCAAATACAAGTTATTCGATATTTACTTTAACTGCTTACTATCTTTTTAGTAATGTATATGAAGATGTCATAGCTAAAAGTAGACAAATTTTATTAAGGCTCCAAGCAAATTTCATATCAGATTATGAAGCATTACAACATTTTCATTTTTCGAAACCTGGACCTGAACCAAAACATATTTATTACTTTAGTCAAGCTGACTATTTTGAAAAGTGGTATAATACAAGGAGTGATAATGATAAGGGACCTATCTATAAAAGTTTTGAAATCAACTCTACACTTACGTTAAGTAGTAATTTTATAGTAAATGATTATGACAAATATTCATTTTTAACATATAATGATAATATTAAAATTGTTGTTGAAGATTTTATTAAATCAGTGAATGATAATACTGAGAATTTGATTAAAAGAGCTATTGATAAAAATTCAATTGAAAAAATTGATGATGTGAAAATTGATATGGATCGTATATTAGAAAGATTGAAGAAACAATTTTCGTAACATTTGATTTGTATATTATTTTAAAATTTCATCATTTTTTACTAATTTTTAATAATTATCTATTAATCGTAATTGTTTAAGTCATTAGTTATTTTATTTTATTTTATTTTTTTGACTTTTTTGGGTCTGAATATTCACGTGACTTTTGAATCACATTATATGATAGTATATTAGATAATTGGATAGTATTGAAATAAATTTTCTCGGTGGATATTTAGTATATGATTTTCTTCACTCAAAGTAAAACAAATAACTTGTTGTAAAACTTTTTATATACTATCGCAAAAATAAAGTTCCAAAAGTAATTTCACATTATTTAAATTTATACGTATTTTCAATTTCATTATCACGAACTGTAGTAAATCAAATTTAACAATTGGAAGACTTTCCAAAAGCAGAATAATTATTTTCTAATATATAAACTTTTTCTCGAAACAGTATAACTTTTCACCATTGTTTAAAAATCGAAAACTATTTGCTTCATTAATTTTACTTTAAAAAACCATCTCTTTATAAGCCTCTTTAATTTTAGATCTATTAATATCTGACACCCTATTAAATATAAAAAAATTTTCTTGTTTGTAAGATAAATAATTATTATATTATATAATATTAATATAAATGTTTGTTAAAAGACAAATATTTTTCATTATTTTCTAATAACCTTTTCAAGAAAATTCTTGGCTTCAATAATTTTACTAGCTAAATAAGGAGAACCACCTTTATCAGGATGATTAAGCATCAAAGTTTTTCTATAAGCCTCTTTAATTTTGGCTCTATTAATATCTCTTTCTTTATTTATAAAATTTTTTTTTATTAATAAAAAAAATATGTTTATAAATAAATAACAATCAACACGCATGTAATATGAAATCATTTTCATATTGTGTAAATTTGAGTCACTTGACTCACTTCATTTTATGATATGTAACTCCCATACAAATTAAGTAATTTGATAGAATATCTATGGCGTACCGTACAATTCAAAAGCATGTTGTTAGTATAAAACAACATGCCACTTGTTATAAAACAACATGTCTCTTGTTATTTTTCATGTCGATCATTGGATTCCATATATAGCGTCTTACTGATAATATCACCTTTTTAAACACGAAAAAAAATAACAAAAAAAGTATTATATTTAATAAAAAAAATACTTCGTAAGGCCGGGCAAAAAAAAAAAATTTAGATTCTCGTGACCCGGCCGGGTCAGTTTTTCGAAAAATGGAAATTTTTTTTTATAGTAAAAAATTTTAATCACGTGTTTTAAGTTATTGGCCAATGTGGCGTAAAAAAATTTTACATATGAACTAGTGTACTTTTGGATATAGTGAGTGAGTTTATTTTTAAAAGTATACTAATAAATTAATAAAAGATTTTTTTATAACAATATGAACCTTAATAAATGTAATTATTGTTATAAAAATCTTTTATTATCATTACTTATTATTAATATTAGTGTTACTGTGAACTAAAAAAAAATCTTACTAAAAACAATTATTAACTTCAGTTAATAAGTTAATTGTCTATTACTGATATATTGTTATTAAAAAAAATCCTAGAAAATTTTTTTATACCAAACAAGAGTCCATCATTCATGAGGAGCTGTGAAATTCATAGCATTCTGTTCATTTTAGTTGGGTTTCAAAATACAGTAGTTGACTCAGTAATTTCGGCATAATTTCAGGTTCAGTTTAGGACAGCAATTCCCGAAACTGAAACTCTGCCGAAAGTCAAAATTCAGGCCGAAATTGTCTGGCCAGCACTATACATTCTGGCTCGCATTGTGAATTTTGCTTGATCAATGATAACTTGTCAAGTGATGAACCGACTGATTGGTAATTAAAATATGGGTTTGTCACATGATTGCCGATCAATGTTGCGTTTTTTTAAATTAACATTTTTTTAATTCTTTATTTAAAAATTATTTAATAGCAAGTTATTTTTAATTCTATTATTACTTACTACAAATGTTATAAGTTATTTATTTAATTCTATAATTACTTTATTTATATAATGTTTACATATAATTTAAACTAACTAAATTCTTTATTTAATAGATCGTAAGTTATAAGTTATTTATTATTGCTTATTTATATAATATTTACATGTAATTTAACTAAATTCTTTATTTAAAAAATTATTTATTTATTATTTAATTCTATTATTACTTTATTATATAATATTTACATATAGTTTAAACTAACTAAAATTAACCATGATAAAAAATGTTATTTTAACGTTACTTTAATGTTTTTTTAAATCAACTATGATAAAAAAAAATGGTATATAACGTTAAATAACGTTATTTTAACATGTTTTATAATAAAAAATG